GAGAGAGAGAGAGAGAGAGAGACTCCACTCCAAACTCCTCCACACTTTGTCTCTAATTTGTGTTTCAAATCGCAAGCGAAGAGCTCATAAAGAAAGAGGTCATCCGTTGTGTTATTGTATTCATTGTATGCATTCCTTCGGTCCATAACTCAGTCCTCAAGTCTTTACTATTAAACACTTTATTTGTTTGCTTTGATTGCAATCCAATCGAAGGCTATTTTGTGAGGTTTTCTCACACACTGGGGATGGGATGTGTTTGCAGAGAGAAAACATTAGTTTATTTTGACACTACAATAGATATAGAGGTATAAAAGGTATTACAAAAAACGTTAACACTAATTAAACTCATGATATTCTGGTATTGCTTGCGATTAATGTCATGAAAATTCTTGCGATTCATTCACTCTCGCAGTGAAGAGGCGTTTAAACTCTCGTCCAAATACTAAAGGATTTTAATTAAATTTGTATAAAAAGTCATTTAATTTGTGTATAACTTAATTCGGATTAAATTTATCTCCAAAATGGTTTATTATTTATAGGGTGTTTGATACGTAAAGGTAAGGGAAAGAGGTTTTTACAGCAATTATTTGCTTTAATTATATGTTATAAACCCGACCGGCAACTTATTGCATATTTTGTGTGCATTTAAAAGTGTATGGATTTCAGCCTTGGAGTCAACATTGAATTATTGATATGAATTAAAGTCTGATATGTTTGCGGAGACATCCAAATGAGGCATTTCTTTAATGATTCCTTAAAAACATATTTTATACACAATTAATGTCATAATTGAGTGCTTAAAGTATTAGTTTTAATTAAAATTCACATTATTTAAAGATAATGAGCAATCAATTTTGAAAGCTTTCGAAACAATTTGCGTTCATTTATTTCATTATAGAAGTTGCGATAAAAATCTCAGTTTTATTAAAACTTTTTGACATATAATTTGGCAGTAATAATCATAAATAAATGCAGCAATTTTTATAATATTCAATATTATAATGGTATAAAAATTTGTTAATAAAACTAATTTTGGGAAATTTTTTATATGAAATTCATTTTAGCCGTAAATTATAACCGAATATTTAGGTCAGAATCCGTTATGTATTGTCATTTGCCTTAAGATTTTTTGCATTCAAATTAATTTCGCAGATTATTTACCAAATTAGTAATAAATCATATTTTATTAGAGAATTAGCTATTATTCGAGATAAATATTTTGGTGCTATTATTATGTGGACTGAAATATTCAAATAATAAATTAGTTATTAAAACCAAAACTCGATTTATGAGAATATCTTCTTTATGTTTAATCAAAAAGCATTCATTCCTATGGACTCCGAGCCATACATTCCTCGGGTTAGAGCACCGGTATATGAAAAGTGCTGTAAGGACTTCGCAATCCCTGTTCCTCATCCTCCTTATCCACTAATTATTATTTTCCCTAAAGAGAGACTCAATTCTCGCAAACTTTTGGGTTATATATGAATAAACTAATACTTATTTATGTATTTCTACACATAATCTGAAATAAATTATTTAAAATTATACACAATTTGTAGCGCTTTTAGTGTATGTTTTGAGCGCACAATTGAAATGCAATTTGCAAACGTATCTGGAAATCAATTTCATGCCATTAAATATTGATTTATTTACACAAATGTTTCAATCAATTGTTCGCATCATTGAATGTATTATAAATCAAATGATAATCCATTATATAATCTATGAATCGATTTGTTGTTTCAGTTATTCCTAACGAATACTAGGAGTGAATCGATCGCTGAATAAGACTTTTATATCTATTATTCAGTGATTGACTCCAAGTATTAGCGGATATAAAGCCATAATAGATAATAATATCTTTGATTTCTGATTATTATTGTTGTGTTTATTTATATTAATAACTATTTATATTGAATGAAAATTATTGATTCGTGAGCTTGCTATTGGCTCGCAATTACATTATTATGTATTATGTCTAACCATTAAATAGCCTTTAAATGCATTGCATGACCTTAAAATCATATGAAATATGGCATTTCAGATATGGGACAGTTATCTCGCGTTCAAGTATTACCTGTGCTGGAGATCGCCAAATCTTTCAAGTAAACCATATCTTTAGGATATAAATCAAAACTTACGGCAAATTATTTAAATGAGACAAAGGCTCACGTTATTTGCCACAAGTTATGACAAATTTGTAAAACCCTTCAAAATTCTTGATAATTAAAAATACATAAATTATTTCATATTAACAAATGTTGAATAAAATATTAATGCTGATCATTTGAAAATTATTTTCCCTGTAATTTTAATATATAAATAATAATTAATTTAATTAGTTTATTTTAATGTTTATATAATTGTTTCGATGTTTAATTTATTGTTCATATGTCAGATGTATTTAGTATTAAAAACATTTTCAATGAATAATATTTAGCCAATTGTGATGTCAAATTGAGCTATTTAGTAATAAATTAGGTATAGTTTTGTACAATAATTTAGACAATTTGACCAAACCTTCACAATTTACTGCATGTAATGTGAGAAAAGTGATTAAATTTGAATTAACAGCTAAACCCTCGACCCCTTCACCCCTTCAACCCGATTCACATGAAGAGTAAAAACAATTTCTTATTATTTTTCTTATAACTTATAAATTACTACAAAACCAATGTGTAGTGAATTATCTTTTAATTTAAGCAAAACTTATATTTTATTTAAATATTAATTTAAGATTTGATTATCAAAATTGAGTTCTGGATATAATTATATTCTAGCAAAAAGAAATTATTTTCATATTAACAACAATTACACATTACGAAAACAGTGATAATTATTATATATAAAAAACTCATTTCGTTAACAATTTCCTCAATCTTTGCTTATGTTTTATGAAACAAAGAATAAAACTTTGATTTAATATAAAAGATATCATCGCAAAAATATTACAATTAACGCATACAACAAAATTGCTCATTAATTGCGAAAATGTGTTAAAAATAATAATAAAACTCAATTCATTGCTATATTTGAGTTTCATTATGTATACAAAATAATGGAAAGGAGGGTTGAATGCAAATTCTGGAGCATTTCATTAGGATTACTGTTATTTTGTAAATTAATTTTTATTTCTTTTGCTGTTAAAGGCGTGCAAACATCCATTGGTTACACATGTCATCAAAAATTGTATACTTATTGTGACTCCACTTTTCCTCATCAGTCGGATAATTGTCTACTTTACTGACATTTATCACAATTAATGGACAGTAGTCTACCTACCAGTGTATCCAGACAAATGATTTGCAATACTACGGGTCCCACCCTTGGCCTATCATTTATTTTTATTTTTCTCGCCAAATATAAGCGATGCAAATGATTAGCGAGATTTTATTCATCGTATGCTTCAATTTTCTATAATTGTTATGTGTTTTTAAAAATTATTCCCATTAATATGTAATTTATGAAAAGCTGGTACAGTTGTGCTACCGATGCCATCCGTGTTGATCACCACTTATCAAACTGCTGTGTATTTCAAGTTTTAGCTCATTTACTGTAGATCTGTAAACATGTACAGTATTCTCGGAATTTATGTTAATTCAATAATGTATCAAAAATAGCACTTTATACTTTTAGATATGAATAAACTTTCTGTCTTATCAATTATGCTTAAAAATAGACTGGCATATTTTTAAATAGCATTGTTTACAATGGTTACTATTGTCTAGAACCATGTATGAATTAAATAATACCTAATATAATATTCTCACTCATTGACTAAATTGTATGTTTAAAGCATTTGGCAATTGATATGGAATTTCATACTCAAGTGTTTATTAAAGAATTTATTAATTTATTAAACGCTTAAACAAAACTGGAAATTGAAGCATAAGTCAGTTTTGTGTGAAATTGGGTAACATTTTTGGCATTTATTTGAGTTATTATTTATATTTATAATTATAATAACTCTTAACACGAGTTTGAGTTGTGGGACGTATGTTAAGGACAATTCATTTGAGAGTAAATAATAATAAAAATTGAATTTTTTACTCTCGAGTATATATTTTCTATGTAACCAAATGTCAGCTCATATTCTAATACATTAATGTAAATAAGTTTTCCTTGAATTGTGAAATCGTTTGCTTTATTTGTAATGTTTTTGATTTTGCTTTAATAAATGCTTAGACTATAAAAGGCGATGCATTGGAAAACTGATAGCCTTTTCTGATTATAATAAATGCAAAACATTTCCCATTAATTCTCATTACACAACCAATTTCTATACTTATACACAAATGAATGACTATTTCGTTGCATACAAATGCAATCTCCAAAATAAATATTGAATTTTAAGCTGAAAAAAGTTTTCAAAAAACAAGTCATGAAAAATGAATTAAAGTTTTGTGTGATTAATAGAGAAACAGTAGTTTGGAAAAGCAAAATATGTCAGAAGTAGTGAATGGAGTGGAAGTTGTAATCAACTAATTTGTGTCAAATAATTCATTGAACGAAAAAAATTTGTGTAAATACAAATCGACGAAACAAAATACAAAGCTATTTTCTATTATTTATTCATTTGTTGGCAAAACTCGAAAAAGTGGTCGAAATGTATGAAATGTATGGAGTGTTTGGAGTGCGAGTGACAGGACTGCCAGTGCCTGACGTCATGTGCACTGCAATGCCGTTATAACGCATCGCATGTGTGTTGTCTCTCAGTCTCTCTCCAAACGCCGCAAACACTGCACTCATTCAGAGCACTCATAGCATAGCTGTGCTCTCAATGCTATCAATACAGCAATACTTCGCGAAACAACACAAACTTCTTCGCCACTCAACGGATCCAATCAAATGTTCAAATATATTCAACATTTACATCATTTTTACTCATTTGCCACACTTTTCTGTTCACTTCAAGTGTTTTATTTGTGAACCCATTGTAATGAATGTTTCACTTATTCTGTGAATAATAATGAATTCTTAGCACAGAATTGGATCATGCTTATTATACTGTGTATGCTTTATATGGGTTATTCATTTGCATCACAAGTATTCATGTTTGCTAATATATCCCAACACCGGGTCTCTCGAGTGTTATGTAACTAAACATATCATTATATTGTGTGGACTCGTAATCGCAATAATATTTGTCTATTTATACAAACCTTGTTTACTTTGGATCGACTTATTATTGAAAGATTAAGAGATTAGCCGTCGAAAGCAAACGCTTCTTATCAGACAATTAATACATAAGAATATGTGAACTGAAATGACTTATCAGTTAATAACCACTCATTACTTCTCAGACAAAACTATTACTTGAATATAATTTCTTAAGCATTACAGCACTGGATATCCGTTCGGCGATAAGATTACGGCAAATGTGTGTCATTTAAATGTTGAAGTGTTGTAGACATCCATTAGTGTATTGATTGATAATGAAAAACACAAACCATTGCTCTGTTCTCACTCTCCATGAGTGTAATACTCCCATAGCATAGCATGTGATGCCAAGTCAGTCGCCTTTCCCGTGCCATCGCATCCACACATAAGTTATTAGTATTTTATTTGCTTTCCAGTCGCCAAAAGTGATGCTAAATGGTTGGCCAGTTGCGAGACATTCACCCCTTTGGCTGCGATTGAAGTGATATTTATTGAGCTGAACGCAGGTGCAGGTGCTGTGGATAGAGCACAGACACCGCACATACGCCGGTGCTCTCACTCTTCCAGCAGACAATCCATAGGTCTCTCCACTAAAGAGACATCGCTTTCCAAAACCGCTCTCCACTTCATCTCCAAAAGCTATTGTCAACTAATATTTGAGGCGTTCGTCCCCTCCATCTCCCATCCCTTTCCCATCCCTTCCCCATTCACTTCAACGCAATGTTTGTTTGCGAGACTTAATTGAAAAACTGTTTTTACTTGTCATCTGACATCAAAAGTCAATTCGTATTAAATAAACATAAAGTTTATATCAAAAAAACTCAAAGAAATTCTTTCGTATCAATGGCTGAAAGTGAGTCCCCGAAGAAGTCGTCGTATAGTAATTGTGCTCAAGTTGTTCACCACAACGACTTCCCAGTGATGCTTCTGGAGCCCAGACCTTTCAGGCCCTTCAAGACCAGCGAAGAGTATTTGTATGCAATGAAGGAAGACCTGGCGGAATGGCTCAACACCTTATATGAACTGGACATCAGTGCCGACAACTTCATGTCCCAACTCGAGACGGGAGTCGTACTCTGCAGGTGAGCCATACATACATTCATTTAATGACCATTTGTTTGGCACTTTTATGGCCAATAAAATGTTTAAATAAAAATTCTCTCCATTTATGTCTCGAAGACACGCCAATCAGGTGCTGAAGAGAGCGCGAGAGTACGAGGCGTCGGGCCGTCAGAGTCTGAATATAGCGATTCCCGCGAAGGACGTGGTGTTCCGTCTGAGCGTAAAGCCGGGCACTTTCCCCGCCAGAGACAATGTGTCCAACTTTATCACCTGGTGTCGACTCTTGCAGATCCACGAGTGCCTACTCTTCGAGACCGACGACTTAGTGATGAGAAAAAACGAGAAGAGCTTTATTTTATGTCTTCTGGAAGTGGCGCGAAGGGGCTCTAAAATCGGTGAGTCTTTTGATCGCTTATCAGATTATAATAAACCCATAAAAAAGTGGGAAAATGTTTGCATTGCATGTCATAACTCATAAATAAAGTGGAGTTTGGATTATATGTGCGAATTGCATAAGAATTGTAGGATTGAATGCATTTGAAAACAAAATGCGAAACAAATATTATATGAAATGAATTCAAAAATATGCAAAAAGCAAAGTCTAACCCAAAAGCAAACTTTCGCTTTAGAAGTTTGTTTAGAAGAATAAAAATATAGACATTAAAAGACTTAAACAAATGTTAAGAAACCCATAGTTGTGTCACTCAAATGAAAGGCGAATAAGTTTTGGGCGTATTTTTCAATCCTATATATTTCCCATTCATTTCACTGCCTTTTTAATGATAACAACACATCTATTTAAATGAAATTCAATTACCTCTAAGGTCTAAATTACAAACTACAGTATATTTGTTGTTTAGCATTTTATTTCATTATTCAAATACACAGAGAGTTTTTCATTTAATTATCAAAATGTAATTTCTCAAATGTTGTTCAAAAGTTTTCTATTACATAAACATTTACAAAATTAGAAATAATTGTGAGAATTACGAACAATCGTAACAATTTCCCTTTAAAAACTTTTTTATATTAAATTGTGTATAACAGTAAGCCCTCCAACATATGGTAAGACTTGGATGACATGTAAAGTGAGGAAAATTATTACAATTGAAATGTTATTATAATTTATAACAACGAGATCTCGTGTGCCATTTGATCCCAATATCCCTACAAACGAATGATTTAATAATTACTTAATTGTATAAAACTTGCATTAAGTATAAGTTGGTTGTTGTATACCCTATACTGGCCTAACATATCATATCAAATGTCGTTTCTCTCGAAATTGGAGCACTTTTTCTATAAGTTTTCTTATATTTAAAGTAATTTTATTGAATTTATAAATTTAAGTGAAACACAATTCAATCATTTTTTATCGGCGGAAATGAATACTCTTATCATAAAAATTGAAAATATTTTTTTACGCAAACGTATTGAAGTATAAAATTAAAATAACTTAGAAATTTGATTGTATTGTTATTACAATTAATTGTCTCTTTGTTTACAATGTTTTTATTATTTCAGACAATTTGATTAATTGTTGCATTTCTACAAACAGTTCATTTATACAAGTTTTATACAAAATACAGTCCAACTCTCTAAAGGGAACAGTGATTAGCAGTTCCTTATATTTAAACTCCTCATTAAAATCACATAATGCTAGCCCTAAAAAATGTTGCCAATACTAGTTTAATGGCATTTATCCTGGATCAGGATATTAAACGATTTTTTATATTGGCGTTTAACGGGTCGGACTGTATTTCATGTCTATTACAATACAATTACAAAACGTATTGTAATGCTCTAACAATACAATGTATAATATAATGGTTCACTTGTGTTATTGTCATTCATGTTTCGCTGTATTATTATATATCTTTAAATCTTACAGTGAATGCAATGTTTTCAATAATTCCGTCAATGAATTTAGTTTGCATTTTAAACAACCGTAAACACTTTAAACAAATGTTTGAATAAATATTTGCTAATATTTCACATTTTCTAAAGTTTAATCGTTAAAATAGTATATATTTTTTGAAAATATACTGCATATAAATATTTTGTTTGTAAATTATGCAAAATCTAATCCATAATCAGATTTAGAGGTATTTTTAGAGATTTAATACATTATGAGAAGTAGATTAGAGAATTTGAATTGAGAGTAAATGATTTAAATCTTTGAGGTTTAATGAATGTTAAACTTTTGGAAAATATTGATTTTGGAAACAAACTTAAAAATATCTCCTCGAAGGGAGAGATTTGTGAATCACTTTTCACAGAAAGACTTTATTTAAGATTTTTCCAAAAACATCGCAATTCAGTGGAAAATTTTTGACGGTTTAGTGACTATTTATAGTGACACCAAAAATATTTTTCTTAAATCGAGTCAAAATTATTTACTTGATACCATATTTTCTTATATACTTTGTAAATGTTACAAATATCATTTATGGGGATAAATTGAACTCCACTTAAATCTAATAAATGTTTGCACATAAAAACAAAACAAATATAAAATAACACAAGTTTTGAAAGATTTTTAATTATAGTCATTATATGAAGGATTGCTGTGCATCTGGTCCGACAGGCCTTATCTTGATTTAGAGGGAAGGGATGCCACAAATTTCAAAGCCCTCACTCATTGTGTTACTAAAAATATGTCTCTTAGAAAAATTCTTCACTAAGAATATCTCGCTTTGAATATTGCATATATTGAACGATATATCTCTTATCGCAAGTGATTGTTCCGTATATGAAATTTGAAATTTAAATTTCCAGAAAAATGTATTCAAAATCTCTTATATCCGATAACGACAGGCATTTTAGCGCCGACTTTGATTCAGTTCGAGGAAGAGATCGATAGAGAGTTGGCTGAAGAGTCGGATGGAGATTCAGATAACGAAAGCGATGACAACCAGACAAGACCACAAATAATCACAAATGATCTCAAGTCATTGCATGAAAGGGTTTGTATGAATACATATATTCACATCCAATCTGAACATACGAGCAAACGGTCGGTCGGACATACGGTTATTGGGTCGACGGCTAACGTATTATTGTCAGAGAATTCATTCATTGTCTGAATGGATAGATTGAATGCACATACAGTACAGTACTGTACTCTTTACACAATATGTGGGAACTCTTCACTAAAATAACACATTTTCTGCCATTAGATAGCTTTAGGAATTCTAAACGGCATTCCTTTTATGCGATATATTATTATTTATGAGATAATATGAGATAAAAGGAATCATATGAAAAAATAAATGATAAGTTGTACTGGCACTTAACAAATAACTTATGAAAAAATAGAAAAATAGATATTGAGTTTGGATTAAAGATTATAATGAGCTAATTGAACCAGGTTTATTAAGAATTTATTGTAATTTTAATATAAATAAAAAATTAACTTCCCATAAAATAGCCTATCGAATTAAAGTATGTTTAAACTGAATTAAATTTTAATTTTCTAAAATTTTTGTGCATTTATATGAGTAAAAACGGGTTATGGTGTATTTTCAGGATTTGAAATTCTTACCGATAGTTATCATATTTAAAATGGATATCACCTAAGAATCTATTTCCATTCTGTGACATTAAATATTCTGATCAACTATTTAATAGTAGATTAGAAATCAAATCCATTTTAAATGAACCAAAATTATTTAATTACTTGATAGCAATTTATACAAAATTAACTCAAAGAATTAGCATTGGAATGCAATCCATAACATTTGCATTCATTAATAGAGTAATAAATAAATAAATCTAATTTGTAATTTGAATATCCGTTTGCACAGTATGTTTGGCTTCTTTAGTAATGTTATAATGTTTGCGATATAATTACTATGACTTGACATCAATTTAATATATAATTACATGTATGTATTGAATAGGTTGTGGAGCTGTTGTCCAGGTGCTCGTGTCCAACGCAATACAATTTAGAGTATATATCGGATGGAAAGTACAGAATCGGTGACACAAAAGTGCTTATATTTGTCAGGGTAAGTGGTGTTTCACTCGTTTATTATATGCTAGTATTTAATCAAATTATTTGTTCAATAGATTCTGCGAAGTCATGTAATGGTCAGAGTAGGCGGGGGCTGGTATGTTATGTCTTGGATATTGTAATACATCACACTGTGTATTGTGTGCAATGAGACAAAAGCATATATTTAACTAGATGTAATTGAATTACATTAAGGGAACCGTTAGACACAAGCAATATATCAGAATACTGGTATACCCCATAACTGTAATAATATTGCACAGTATTTGTACTGCACTGTAGATATATTAATACTGAAGTTATACTCAATCTCATTGTACACTAACTTATAATGAGATATAAAACAGAGTGAATGTATAATAAATATTAGAGTAGACAGAGCGGTGTTAATGGATCTGTATTTGTCTTTTGATACATCAGGGATACTCTGGAGCACTATCTGGAAAAGCACGACCCCTGTAGGTGTGGGAAAGGTATTCGTAAATATTTGCTAATTACTGAATTTAAGTATCTAAGTGTTAACCGCGTATTCATAATGTGTTTGACAGCTGGTCGTCGTTCCCGGGCATCACTCGAGCCAATTGTGAGTCCGACCCGACATTTCCGAGTCCTCCGCGACCCCAACGCCGGCGGACAACGCGTCTCACTATTTCGTGTCGTCTAATGTAGTCATCTCTTAATTGCCATTCAATGCATCCAACGGTTGCTTTGAATATAAGCTGCAAGTTTCGAGCCCTACCTCTTCCAGTAGTTGATCATTGGATGTGATAGACATATTCATGTTCACTATAGTTATAGCCTTAACCATGTACATTTTTTAAATCAATTAATTTGTTTTTAAACATTTTAAATATTTATAAGTTATATAAACAAATTGCTCACTTTTTTACGAAATGTTTTATTGTAATGTAATGTATAATATCTGATATAATATAAAATTAACATTTTTAAATTAAATTTACGAATTCTTTAAGAAAACACGAGAAATACATTTTATTAAATTATTTATGAATGAGTTTTTCGGATAAATATTTTATGTTGTGATGATTTGTGTGATTTGAGTGATTATAAGTCATTCGGGAAAATAGTTGACAGCTTTATTTGTATTGATTTGTGCGTTATGATGATTTATAGCTGTATATTAAGTAATTTTTAGCTACTCATATGTCTCTCCGATGGAAATTATGTGGAAAACACATAATTTGTTTCCATATTTGACTGATATTTCGATTTATTGATGATAATGTTTTTTCTGAAAAAATATATTAGGTTATATTAACAATCTAATTTAGATATTTCAAACAAAATTCAATTGTGAATAGTTGCTTAAATATAGCGTATTTGATAACTTTACTTTATCATTATTAATATTGAAATTACTTCATCATTTAGTAATTTAATATATAAAATATTTAATTATAGTAATATTATAAAATATACTACAAATATAAATTATAATATTATTATCATAATGTTATTAACATCTAGGCAACTTTTAAGGAATAGCATACACACTAGTTAGTCTGAATTTTATAATATTACAATATATTCTTTTAAAAATATATGATACTATGCAATATACATTGTATTGTGTTATTATAGTATGCTACTGTATATGAATGACCATGATAGCAAGTTATAATATATTTATTACATAATAATAAATATCTTTCGTTCACAACAGAGAATTAATAATAATGGTTTA